AAGTCCATCAAAATCACCATGAACTTTTCCACTATATTAGTTAATGACAAAAAATAAAAGTACTTCGAGCAATCCAAAAGTGGTGATGGAGGTAGTAAAAAGACTTGCGTTTTTTTTGAAGTATCATGGAGACTTGAGCATACTATATTTGGATTCCTGATTCAAAACTGTCTCTAGTCAAGGTACTCTCAAGTCTCCGAACCACAAAGTGGAATTTTGGCAAGACCCAGAACGTATATGAGATATGAGTCAAGAACCAAGACCCTTTGTTCAAAAACCCTGCTAAGTTTTTATGTGGAAGGTTAGACCTTTGACTCAAACATCAATAGCTAGGCCAGGTAACCAGCTTTAAAAACATGTAGAACTATTTTTCAAACTTTGTTTCGTTGCTGAGAAAATTCATTTTTCTAAATCAGAGGTGGAAAAGTCGAAATTTTGTCCAAAGTTTCCTCAAGCTTGCTATATGGAAATAAAGTACCTCCGCATGTGAACACGCGGAAACACATGTGAAAGAATGGAAGGTTATCGAACGTTTTCGTACAGAGTTGCTCTTTACTTATTTCATATAGAATAGAATATTGAATAGAATATTGTCCAGCTTTATACTATATCTGCGTTTTCAGATTGTGTTTCAGACCTAAGTTTTCAGATTAAGTTTTGTCTTGCAAGAATACTATTTTTAGGTATAGAGAGGAAGTCTAAATAAAAAACGATCATTTCCGGTGATAAAAAACTAGATATCCGCCTGCCTAGTGAAAAGTACCCACTGTAATATGATAGTTGAAGTAGATGTATGATTAAGTTTCGTTTTCGCCCTAAGCGTGATTAATGGTGTGTGTGGTGATAGTGTATGAGATGAGCATCCATCCGTTCTATTACGATAAACACGTGACATTAAATTCTCAATGTATCCCACGCGTATTAGACCAAAATGTTCATAGATGTTCAATTATTATTATCTAGATAATGCAGCGACTAGCAGATAACGATGTGTTATTGCACATGTTGTTATATAGCATTTAACGAGATAAGAGACATAAAAAAATGAAGAAATAAGGAAATAGAGGAAATAAGAACTTAAGAAGATAAGAGACATAAGAAAATAAAGATTTAAGGATTATGTCTCTTGTCTGCCTAAATCCTTATTTTCCCTATTTCCTTAAATCTTCATTTTCTTATTTCGAGCAGAATTTTGACCTTTTCGCATCAGATTTAGAAAAAATATAGACCATCAGATACAGGTATTCTTGATCCGCGTGAAATTCTCTATCGTATGATGTATGATTAAGCCAAAAATAAAATAGTGCTGTAACTTGCAATTTGAAACGCCTTACCTCAAGGTCATGTAGAGTTGGGAGAGATCTCAATTTAATCAGAAATGTGCGGGCTACAATCATGTCTTATTAAGAAAGCTTTGGTTGTTTTTTGGAGTTTCTGAAAAACTGGTTTTCCCGAAAACCGGATCTTCAAAGTCCTAAGGACAGCTCTCATACTTATATTCGGAATCAGCATCATCGATAACGTATAATCCACTATGTTTCGTTGAAAAAGCGGGAGGGCACTTAGACCCGTTCCCTCGTAAGCTCAATCTAACTATGAAACAACGATTTTTTCCGATGAAAAATAGCTGGAAAGCGTCAGCATTATTGAGAAAAGGTTTTATCCTGATTATTATTACCCTAGGCTACTCTATTTGAAATTGGTGCAAGAATAACCCTATACGAAAACGCCCGATAATCTTTCATTCCTTCACATGTCACAGCACTCTCTAAAAAAAGTCGTATTCTCGGAAACCGAAAGAAAACGGTTTTCGAGCATCCGGAAACCAAAACGGGTTTCCCACAAGCTCTCGAAAACTGAGATGAGTTTCTGAGCTAATGTCGGAAACCCATCAAAAGGTTTCTAAAAGTTCAAGTAGGTTTCGGAACCTTCGGAAACTTTTCTCCGTTTCCTATAGTTTCATTTTCGGAAACCTTTTAAGCGTTTCTCAGAATTTTGTAAGGCTTCCGAGAGCTCGGAAACTCTTAGAGGGTTTCCGAAAATGAAACTATAGGAAACGGATAAAAGTTTCCGAAGGTTCGGAAACCTATTTGAACTTTTGGAAACCCTTTGATGGTTTCCGAGATAAGGTTGGAAACTCACCTCAATTTTCGAGAGCTTGTGGGAAACCCATTTTGGTTTCCAGATGCTCGAAAACCCTTTTCTGTCGGTTTCCAAGGATTCGATTTTTTTTTAGAGAGCAAATGATTCCAGTCTTACAACGTTAATAAACTGTTCTAGAAACAAAACAGATTTTATTAACATCATATAAAGTATAATGCAAATAAATATTCCACTGTAGTTTACTGTACCAGTGTTTAGGTAAACATTTTTTCTTCTTATCTGCAAAGCGGTATTTTTGATTTATTAACCGTGCTTGGTTTTATGTAGAGCATTTCCAGTGATAAACAAAATTCGTCCTGCTCCACGGTCTATCACTACTTTCATTTTTTTAGGATCATCGCAAGTGACTGAGAATGATATTTTTTTCAAAATTAAGCTTGATATGTCCGTATATAGAGTCAAGTATTCTCTTCAAAATGAGAGTCTTCCGGACGCTCAAAAATACTTTACTAGAAAGCTGAGTTTTTCAAACTTTTTCTCCAAGGAAAAACTTTTCATGCACTTTGACTTGGTAAGTTTTTCTTTATTTTTGGAAATATAAAATCTTTTAAATGATAGAAACCATCAGTATTGCATCATCAGTAACACGCACACATAAGTGGAAAAGGGTAATATACTATTATATAAGGTGCAAGAGCCATATAATAACGGAAAAGAGAAAATTAATTACGCTGATAAATCCTTGTTCAATAAGAGTATTACTAACGCAGACACAATTATGCCTATAGCAATTGGTATAATTATAACAGCTTCATGAACAGAGTGAAATTCGTGTAGAATAGACACAGTAGCTTTACGTTCTTGTATCTAATATTTAACATTAAGGTCCATGATATTTAAAATAAAGATATTATCTTCTTTATGTAACGGTGTAGAGATATATTAAGTAGTTCAACTGTGTCTTTTTTGTAAATAAGAGCCTAGAAGTTCAATCATAAGGCCGTTGATAATGTTTCTTCGTTATAAAAGATCATATTTCGTATATATGGTTATAAAAATCGAATATGAGTAAATTCGGATAAAATAACAAGCCTTCAAATATATACTGTTGTATTTATTGTATCAAAATTTGAATCTGTACTATCGAAATACTATTAGAATAGACCGTCTGCTAAAAGACCATGGAAAGCGTTATTAGACACAAACGTGTCTTACAATTTGACCCATATTTATATTCGGGTACACTTTATTATAAGGCATTGTTCTGAAGGGGTGAAAATCTAATAGACAAACGAGTTGTTGATTACATAGAGATTAAAAATGTACGATAATAATGACCACAAGTCTTCTCATTTTAAAATACAACAAACAATAATAGTTCACTTTCTGTCTGTTTTCTCGTTCATTCGACGAACTCTTACCGTTTCTTTGCATTGATATTAGCATTATTCTTGTTTTTATTAGTTTGTGGTAACTATGAAATAATGATTTAGCATACAATATGTAATTTTTTTGATTAAAAATTCTGCTTTGGTAGCGAAAACTGAATTTTATCTGAAAAGTCATAGATTTTTAGAAAAGGTTGCGCATCTGTGTGCTGATTTTATAGATGCAGTATAGATAGGAGAATACTTGTGCAAACTTCAAGCACAAATAAATTCTGGAAAAAGTATGAAACCCATTACACCGAAGACGTGGTTTTAGGAACCATTTTTATCATGGAAAATATATTTTTCTCCTCAAGTTTGGTTTCAAGCTCGATTATAAATGGACAAGATCGTTTTGATTTGTTGTTTAGATTCTATTAAATGTAACTATTTGATTAAATTTGATAAAAATTCCTCTTTCATTCTTTTTATCGATTTTTAGGCTAATTTTTTTTAGCATGGGTTGGTTTTAACACTAGAACGCCCGGAAATTTTCATGGCCTAGAACGCCCAAAGCAGTCATTTTGACCGTTACTGCTTTTTTTAAAAATTTTATACTTGAAAATGGTTCTGAATTCAAAAATGAATTAAAAATTCTGCAGAAAATAATTTTTGTGGGACAAATTAAAAGTTATGACATAATTTCTTTTAAATAAATTGTATGCAGTATGTTTGTTTAAGGATAAAAATCACAAACGGTCAAAATAACCGCTACGGGCATTCTAGTGTTAATATCGTTCTAGTAAAGACAAAAACTTGTTATTCAGGCAAAAGATGGCTACCAACTGAATAATTAATCCTCTAGTAAAAACTGGAAAAAGTTATAGTCGACGTAGAGATAGAACTTTTAAAAGTCATTTTGTCGGCTATGCGCTTAAATTCATTTGTTTTTCAGTATACTTTTGCTTATTTAGAATTGTCTGTTATCAGATTGATTTGTCGGCATAGCGGAGCGGCGTATTATGTAGTGCTATACGATCGCAGTCGGCGAGTGTTTTTCTTATTTGCTGGGTGACCTATTGATAGATCACCGTTTTCTTTCTTCCTTTTCTTACCGCACAATTAGACGAAATAACGTGTCTTCACTCTTCCTCTGAAGTGCTTGTATGTTATAGCATTAATACATATTCACAAAAAAAGTCGGTAGTAGTCAGAGAGAAACACAACACTGCATATCAATTTAAGAGCGATAGCTCTCCTCTTCTCGTTAATACTCCTTTTTTCTTTCAACACAGAGGCCTTGTTCATGTTGTCTTTCTTTCTTTCTTTTTGTTATTTTTCTCATGACCTCACCGTCATCGTCGATCATACAGAATGAGAATGAATAATTCTTTTTATCTGTTCTCTATTTACTGTGGGTGTTTGAAATGATTATTTTCAACTACTTTTATTCACTAAGAACATATTAACTCATATTTTTATATTAACGTTTCTCGCTCTCTATATTTATTCATTGTTCGAACAACAAATATGGCGCAAGCATCCTTCCTCCCACAGCAACAACAATCACTCAGCAGTCTGGCTGATATGACGGGTCAGTTTAATGGTGGCTATTACAAGATCGATCATCGTGATACAAATACCCTACTGTCAGTCACCTTATCGCCCCAAGCGTCATTCTTTGCACAACCAGGCGCCATGGTAGCTATGAGTCCCGAAGTGCAACTGAAGGGTAAACTCAAATTTTCATTCAAAAAAATGCTGACTGGCGGCGAGATGTCTCAGTCAACATTCACGGGTCCGGGCGAGATTCTTCTCGCACCACCCATCTGGTAAGTTCGTGCATATCCAATATGAGTAAACTTGTGACTTTTTATCAATGCATTTCAGGGGCGATATTGTTCCCATTCAGCTCGATGGCTCCCTTCAGTGGTCAGTGGGTAAGGGCGGCTTTTTGGCGATGACTGAAGGTGTAGTCAAAGAAACTAAATCGCAAGGGTTTGGCAAGGGAATGTTTTCTGGTGAAGGTTTCTTTGTTAATCGTATATCAGGCACGGGCATCTTGTTTGTTACCTCTCTCGGAGCTATCATTCAACGACAACTGCGTCAAGGCGAACAATGGATTGTTGATAACGGACATTTGGTCGCATGGAATTGTCCATATACAATTGAGAGATCGGGTGGTGGCATTGTTAGTGGTATGCATGCTGGAGAAGGACTCGTATGTCGATTCACTGGTCCGGGAATTGTGTTCATTCAGGTATGAAACATACAAAGATGAAAGCTGTTTTTGAATGACTTGTATTTCTGTGTTTTTACATAGACGCGCAATCCGGAAGCTTTGTCCGAATGGATCACGAGTCATGTACGAACTGGATCACAGTAATGATGACGGCAATAAACAGTTGTCTCTTACTGTACGGCCATTCCACGTAAAAGTCCACTTTTACGTAAGTCCGTGACGTTTTGTGAGATAGATAACTCTTCAGCCGAGCAACGTACAGGATTGGGAAACGTCTTATTTTGTAGCTTAAAGATTTTTTTTT